CTGTCGCAACGTCTGCCTCCTACGTACGTTCGCATGATTTGTGTGGTCGCGCCGATCCGCCCGGCTGCTCTCAAGATCGCACCCGCCTTTTTTCGTGATCCTTCCCCCCTTCTTCTCGGCCAGTCATAGCGCTCTTTCTCCTGTTCTTGGATTCAGAGACCACTCCTCGCTTTTTATTCCAGCAAATTTTCGCCCTGCGTCTGTTCGCGTTCCCGCCAGCCGACCCAATGAACTCCGCCCTTGTCTATTCGCCTCCCTTGCCGCGCCCCAGCTTTAGGATCATCGAACTCGGGACCACGTCTGTCAGCCTCCTCACTCCTCTTGCCCCTTGGGTACTGCCTGCACTTGGCTTATTCTCGATCCAGATGCGGTTCTCGACTCCCCTCCCACCTCGTCTCCTTCGACGTTGGTAGTCACGGAAGGACCTTGGCGGACCTTCCTTTGTTCGACCGTCTGGTAGTAATCTTTCCATTGGACATAGTTATCCTTTATCCCCTCCCGATCTTCGCCTGTTTCGCTTAGCTTCTCTGGTCAAAGCCTGTCCATACGTCCATTCGTTTCTCTCATCATAAAGTCGCGGCGAGGCGTCATTTCCCTTTTTCACACGGCTAGGCGGTCGGTCGTTCAGGCCCGCCGGAGCTTGGCAAGACCTCGGCCTCGACCGATCTCTTGGATCAGATCGCAGCTCTTGGCCCCCGTGCCCTCAGACCCCGAAGAGTTTCCCAGATCGTCATTTGGTCATCCCACCACATCATTTTTTGAAGCTAAGCATGTTTCTTCTGACCAATCCAACACAACCCCCGCCCTCTGAAACGGGCTCCTGGAAGCCCTTCAGGTTGCAATCCCCGTCACGGGACCTATCCTGGACGTGGATAATTGATCGTCTCGTGCCCCCTTTTGGCCCCAAGTGCACTGCTCTCAGTGTCGCTCTTCTTTGAGTAAGATTGGTGTAGTCCAGCTGTTCCAAATACCTCGTCACAGGCCCTCACAGGCCCGCTTCCTCCCGAGTTCTTCATGGCCCGCCTCAAAGTCAACCATCAATCCCCGATTTTCCGTCTTGTCCTTGAAAACTCCGATCTCGGGGATCCGCCCGAGCTCACCTGCGACCTTGGTCCGAACCGCTACTCCAGTCCATAAGAGGGTCAGCGCGAAGAGCCGGAACACCCACAATCCTCACAATCACACACAGCCATACATCAAAACCAGATAAAGGCAAAAAGGAAAGGTCCGAAAGCTCATTGTTTTCAGAAGGAAAGGTCTTCGGCTGGTAGGCAGCCGCCCGACAACCAGCCCACAACCCAATTCTCGCCGTCCCCGGCGAGCTCTCCCATGACCCTCTTTCCCAAGCCTTTTCCCACTGTTACCCAATGGTCGTGTCTTTACTCGGCCCATGGTCCGCATTGTCCCTCCTTTTTTCGTGTGGTTACGTTTTATCCCTTGTTTCCCCTTGACTTTTTGGTTTCTAGACCGCATCGGCTCATTATGACACTGCCCCCCCCTGTGGAACTTATGATACACGTTTCTCTTAACTATGATACACGTTTCTCTTAAGTATGATACACTACCTCCCTCTCGAACCGCAACACCTATTTTCTCTAAGTACCTCACCATTTTTGGCATTATGATACATGTTTTTTCTAACTATGGTACATTGCTTCCCCTTCCTCCCAAGAGATCCTATACCCATCTCCGTCTCCTCACCTTTCTCTCGCGCCTTCTCTCTTTTGCTTTCTCTCATCTCTCTCACGCTTGATTCTCAAGGCTTTCCTTGAGGCATTCCTTCTTTCTTTTATCCTGCGTTTTCGTAATTGGTCGGCATCACTGTCATCCTCCCTTGGCCGTTTCTTCCTTCTAGGGGTCTTTGGCAGGGAAGTTTTTCAAATTTGATATCCCTTCTTAAGTGGTCGCGAGGAGGCTCCTTGTTTCGAAGTCTCTCCTTTCTCGGGGGTAACGGTCACTTCTGCTCTGACTGCTTCCTTGCCCTTTCTTTTCGTTTCCTCTCTGAGGGTTCCCCGCCATCGAAAGAGCTTGAGATGAGCCCTTGTGCCAGGGTCTCGTAATCTAGTCCCATCTAACTCGGTGAGTAGGTATGCTCCCCCATCCAACCTCTTTAGGACTCGGTACGACCCCATCCATCGGTTGGCCAGTTTCTTGCTCCAAGTCTTTTCTAGCGATGAGTCGTACATTAAGACCAGGTCACTGGTCCCTATTGGTTTTTGCCGGACCCGCAGATTCTTATCCCACCTTTCTTTCCCTTTCACCCTCTCCTTCTCGACGTTTCTCCTTGCCTCGGCAACCCCGGCGTCCAAATTCTCGGCTATTTGCTGGATCCTTGCCTCCAACAGTTCCCCCCTTATCATGTTGGTTCTCCACGAGACACTCGTCCAAGTGTCGAAGTGGAACTCGATGGGCAGTGGGCAGTGCCTACCGAACCAAAGGGTGTAAGGGGGATACCCCGTACTTGATTTGACTGTGATGTTATCCGCCCAAACTGCATATCGCAAATACTTTGGCTATTGCTCGGCACGTCCTTTGCACCATTTCGCCAAGGCGTCTACAAGTGTCTGGTGACCTCTTTCGACCGGAGCGTTGCTTTGGGGGTGGTAGGCGGTTGTGTAGGCCGCCTTAATCCCCGCCTTCTCCAATATGACCTTGACCATTTGACTTAGGAATTCCGACCCCCTATCCATAACTATCTTTTCGACACAACCGTACCGGGCAATGTACTCTAAGAGAAATTCACTCACCTCCTCGGCCGTCTTCTTCTTAATAGCCTTAACTTCAACGAATCCGGTGAGGTCATCGCGGGCATTGATTATGTACCGAAGTCCGCGGACTCCTTTAGGCATGGTCACTAGGTCCACATGGACCTTTTCGCCGGGCATAGTGGGGAACGACGGAACTAGGGGTTGTTTGTACCGAACTGTTGCCCTCTTTTGGCACACCTCACGGGTCAGACAATACTTCTCTACTTCTCCATATTGTCCATCCCACCAATAGAGTCTGCGGACCTTATCAAAGGTCCCTTTTACCCCCCTCCGACGACTCCATCGTGCAATTCTTCTTTGACTGCCTTCCTTTCCCCCGGATCGCAAAGCACCCTCATGGGAATTGCGAACTTGGTAGGCCTCTTAAAGAGGTGCCCCCGCCTCGACAATACCCAAACGCTTCCCTCTTAATCACCTCGGTGCCTTCTCCCCTGCCTGTCAGGTATAGCCCTATGTCGCGGTACTTCCCGTCGTAAAGGTTAGCGAGGAACGTCCTAGGGCCCTCTCCCTCTTGAGTGGTTTCAGCCACCCGCGCCCTATTAGCGGTGACTTGGATTACTTCTTCCTTGATCGTCGACCGAGTCACCTCCTTCAGCTTGGGATAATCCTCCTCCAGGATGGGAAGTCGGGACAGCCCATCTGCTACCTGGTTTTTGGCTCCCGAAATTCTTTCGACCTTATAGTTGTAGAGCCGGATGTGGATCATCCATCTGGCAATGGTCGGATCGGTCAGCGAAAGATCCTTCTAAAGGACGGCGGTTACCGCGGTCGGATCCACTCTTAGGAGAAAACTCCTCCCGTAGATGTAGTGACGGAAGGTTTTTAGGCAATGCACCACTCCCAGCACTTCCTTCTTGAACTGGCTATAATTCCTTTCGGCAGGATTTAAGTCCCTTCTTTCAAATCGGAAGGGTCTCTCCTTCCCGTTCGAATCCTTTTGCGACAAAAGTCCTACCGAACAAGGTCCTGCATCCGTAGAAACTATGAAGGGGCGGTTCTCCTCGTCCTCGAAGAAAGGAACCCCTAAGACTTGTCCACCTTCGCGGAATTCCTCCTTAAGGGCTTCCATGGCCGCGACCTGCTCCTCTCCCCAGATCCATTCCTCAGTTTTCCTAAGCAACCGCCTAAGGGGTTCTGCCTTCTCACTGTAGGCCCTTATAAAGATTCCCCAGTAGCCCACCACCCCTAGAAATTGCCTAACTTCCGTGACTGACTTAAGTGGTGACGGCCAGGTCATCAACTTTTCTAACTTAGCGGGATCGGGTTTCCGCCCATCCTTGTCACAGATGAAACCCAATATTTTGATCATCGACACTCCCCAGCGGCTCTTGTCCCGCTCACAGTAAGGTTGGCGTCATCTAATTTTGCAAGGACTTCCCTGACATCCTTCATATGGTCCACCACGAACTTCCTTACCCCGGGGAAGACCTCCGTCTCGTCCCGTTCGACCGACCCTTTTATCGGGAAGTCGTCTAGGAAGACCTCCACCTTTTCAGGTATGAACTCTTTGAGAACCGCGATCATGGCTCTTTGGAATACTACGACACCGTTCGTCCACCCCATCGGTACCACCATCATCTGGACCAGCTCTAGAGGCATGTGCATTGCGGTCATGTGTCTGTCTCGGTACCCAAGGGGATCATCCCGAGAAGAGATCGCAGATCGAGTAGATCGAGTGACCCGCCGATCCTTCAGCAAGCAGATTAGCCTCAGATACGGACCCTACGTCCCTTATAGTGACCGCGTTTGTTCTTTGGAGATTCAGGATCCACCTTAATTTGTTGTTACCCCCTTTTCTAAGAAAGAACCACTTGTTAAAGTAGGCACTCTCACAAGGCTCCGTGACGAACGTCCTTATCTTTTCTTTGATAAAGACCACTATCTCTTCCTTCTCCTTTTGAGCATACTTCCACTGGGGTTTATCTTTCCAAGGCACATGAGGGATTGTGTGGATCCGGGCAGGCTTAGCGTACATTGGGTCGATCCTCCCTCTCTCCGAGTCATCGAAGGCTATGGCCTTATCGCAACTTCTCAGGGTCGTCGCTACGTACTCCTTCTCCCCCTTCGTGAGGTTCTTATCCCCTATATCCATTTTCGCCAGCCTATCGGCCGTAATTCTTTGTCCCTCGGTCTCCTTCCTTTTTTGGATGATATCAGCGATTTCCTCCTCCGATATCGAAGTTTCCCCCGTTCTATCCCGGCTGACCGCAACGGGTTTTACTTTTTTCGCCACGGTTTTATGCTTCTTGATTCCGCCGACTAGGGGGATTCCTCCAAAAAAGACAGCCTCACGTACCCACCGAACTCCTCTTCCTCGTCCTCCTTCTCGTATCCTACCCCACTAATCACGACCCGGCCTCCGACATCCTTGACATCTAATCTGTCCCCCGGGGGTTCCTTATCAGCAAAGGGTGATTCTTCTAGACGGACTCGGCACACCCTTCACAGGGCCTCCCTCCGTCTTGGAATGTTGGTATGGCTCCGCTCATCTTGTGCGTCCACAGCCTTCAGGACCACCCGGATTCCATCCGGACTTTGGATTGACAGGGTCTGACTTCCATCCAGTAGGTCAATCGTGGTAGCGTGAACCGCGCTCAGCCAGGTTCTTCCGAGGATCAACTCGGAGGAACACTCCTTTACCGAAAATATTGGGACCGAGGCCTCGACGCCCGCGACCTCGATCACGGGGTTGTGACACACCCCCTCTGCCGGTTGCAGCTTGTTATCCGCTACGACCATCGACATTGACACCCCTCTATCTATTTCCAATCCTAACTCCCGGGCAATAGAGTCTCTACATACCGTGGATTCGAACCCATTATCCCCCAGAGCCCTCATCTTCTTTCCACTCACCACAGCTTGGAGCTGGCCGCTCCCTAATACATAGAACCTTTTGGCCTCTTCTCCCGAGAAGAAGTTCACCGGCAGCTCCTTCATGGTGATCCGGGAGGACTGCACTTCTTCTTTGGCAGGTCCATCTCCCGGAACCGTGGGTCCTCTGGCGCGCGGGACTCTCACTTTCTTCGTGATGCTTAGGAGGTCTTCCCTAGCGCTCTTGCTGGCTGCCAAGTATTCTAGAAGGGTGCACTGCATAGGCTGCATTAGGGTCCTCCGTAGGGGAGCTACCGTGTCTATCTCGTCCAAGGTGCATTTCATCTCGAACTTTTTCGCCCCCTTCTTCCTAGGTGATTTTGGTGAAGTGCGTTCCTCTCCTTTCCTTTCTTCCGCGCCTTTGGCGTCGGCCATCGGTTGGTCGTCGTCGCCGCTCCTTCTTCCTCCATCTTCCGCCGCGCTCTCCTTGCCTTTGGACGACCCGGCCCCAACTTGGGTTCTTACCCTTAGGCAAGGCCATTCTTCTTCGGGCTGGGTCTCAACGAACTTGATGCTTGACACCTGGGGTTCCCTAATGGACACGCCTCCTGGTCGCTCCGTCATTTGGACGCGGGATGAATTGGAGGTACTCCCTACCTCGGGCTTCTTTCCCAACCTTGCCTCCTGGAGGGCTATCCTTTTGTCCACGTTCACTTTCATCGAGGGATAGAAGGAGACAGTCAGGGTTGTCACGCGGGGATCCCCGGGGCCCGAGCCGGGGTAGGGGTTTCACCCCCGGACCCCCGTCGCGGGGCTACCCAAGCCCTGCCCCCGCCAAAAC